ATAGATTCGGAACCTGTGAATGCGACTCCTCTTCAGCAGGACAGATACTAATTTCATAATTTATTGACTCTGAATAAATGCGAAACCTTTATGATTTTCTCAGTACTTTGAATAATTTTGAAATTGAATTTTAATTACTGTGCCAGCAATAAACTCTTTAAATGACTAGTTCAAAAGCGCTGGATATTAATTAATGGGATCATTTATTTATAGTTAAAATTGTCGAAATTGTCGAAATTGAGATATATATATATATTTTTTTGCATTGACAACGACGGTAATAACGGTGACAACCGACAAATATCCTTGTCAAGCGGACCCACATGTCCCACATACCATGTAAATATTTATTTTAATTTGCGAAAATATGCTACTGCTCAATGCATAACTTTGAAAAGCCTGTAGAAATGCAAACACTTTGGTAACATTTACTTAGCCAATTTTACCGAGGGAAGAGTGGAGAAGGAGAACGGGGTATTTTTTTTTTCACTCTTTTTCCATTCATAATTGATACTAAACGCATATTGCGTACATTTCCGTGCTGTGGTCACATAAATTATCGCTGAAGGCACGCTCTGGATTTGATTAAGCAATTCAGTTTGGATTTGACTGCTTTCAGTTTTTCATGGCACTTTGAGAAAGTTTCAAATTTCGCTTCGAAGTGGTGTACCAACTACTATTGATGCGGTCGCGATCGTTTCTCCTGTTACTGTTTTGCAAACGCAACTAAATTTACAACTTACCATCACATTAAAAACTATTTTTTTTGTTTTTATTAAAATACAGCCGGTTTGGTGTTGGATTCAAGAATGATATTACAGTTTTCAAACTAAAAAAAACATGACTCTAATGGCTTCTATACCTATAAACCTACATAATACATAGCACATCTGTTACCTGTTGTTGTATAAAAGTAGCAACACCAACACTAGAAGCAACAAAATGGCAACATATGAGGGCAACGCAGCAGCAACAACAACTTCAAAACGAAACTCAAGACAATTTAAAGTACTGTAGGGGGACCACTGTTATTTAATTCATAATAAAGCATTAGCAAACACGATACTTGACGAGTAATGTTTTTTTTTGTTTTCCACTCCCAAATGCATTGATATGGCTTGAAATTTGAACTTTAAATGCAGAGATTCAACCTAAAACTGGCTAAAACTTTTCCTCATTATCAATACAAGAACATTTCCTCATTATCATCATCTAGTAGTTAATACATTAAGATTGACAGTGAAATGTTTGTTAAAATGTGGTAACCGATGATGGTGGCTGCTATTGGCATCAATACATTCACTTTGTTACGCAACAACAACATAGAATAAAAAAAAAGAAGTTTGTTTTATGTTTGATATTTGCTTAGTTCATCATTGTAAGTTGAAGCGCGCGCGACTCAATTTTTGGATTTTGTATGCGTGCGTTAAAATGTGGTGGTGGTGGTGGTGGTGTTAAAAGAGAGGGATGGGGGGAGCGATGGTAAAGTTAATTTCCATGCAAGATTTTTACACAAACATTTTGTAGATTTTGCATGTTGATTTGATGATATAGAACAAAGGGATGCTCCGGTTTTCGTACAATGGTTGCCTGATGATATGAAAACAGTTTAGTTTCGAGTGGTTCCTTTGGTGTTGTCGAATCCATTTAACACAAAAGTAACTCTTGACCAAACAAAGCCGAGATACGCATAGCAAGAGAGAAATTCATATCAGATCGTATGTGTGTGTATACACAAACAATTATATAAATTACACTCAAGAGAACTAAAGCCCAATGAAACACACTACAATGAGCAAGTAAACAATGCTAATAAAAATTTATATAACGTTCGTTCGTTCGGTCAAAGTGAATAAAGCATGTGTCTCTTTATTCATGTTGGATGGTTGGTTGTTGGTTATTATTTGTTGGATACACAGCATTTGGTCTTTTACATAATTCCATCTTTTGATGTGTGTTTGAGCATGTGTATGTATATGTGTATGAATGTGCGGGTGCGCGTACAACAAATACTCAAATATATCCAACCATTGCATTACATAAACACCAATTTGGTGAATATACTTCCACTGAAATGGACCCATTCATTGATTTATTTAATTTAGTTTCGTTTTTTTGCTCTCTTTTATTCTTCATTCGCTTTTTTTTATGAATGTGTACGGACTCTCTTTTTTTGGTGTGAAATTGAAGTTCGTTGTGGCTTTTTTACCGAATCTCAAAGATTCTAGCATGAAAATGGAAAGCTTCAACGAATTCGGAATTTTAAATAGGTCATTTACTATAACACATATTCAGGGATAATTTATTTTGTCGTAGCGAAGTCAAGCCATTCTGAACAAGGGATGGATTACACTTCGGGGCATGCATGTTTTTTTTATTCCACAACCGCAACTGTCTATCTATCTTCTTTATTCTATCTCTGTCTCTCTCATAATTTCTCGCTTTTACTCCTTTGTAACTGTACTCTAAGTGTATCTTAATCTAAACTTAATTTTCGAGTAAACAACATCATTTTTTTGTTGCTGTGTTGGTTTCGATTTCGATTGCTTTATGATTCAGTTACTTGAGTGTCGACCACTCTGGTTTTCGGTTAGTTATTTCTCACATTTATCTCATAATACATCAAAATAGTCGGATTGACAAAGATCTGAAACTGTTTCTCAGAGAGCCCCTTCTCACATATATTGCTCTGATAAAAACAGTCTCTGACAAAGATATTAAAAAGGATAACACTTATTTTATTAGCTCATATGATATAGAAAATTGACTCACTGACTATTTCAGAATAAATTGAGTGGTTAAACCATGATTATCCCAAACAAAATAGATACATTTATTCCACTCAATCAAGAAGTCCCGAAATTCATTCGATTGACTTACCTACCCATTGTTTCCTATACAACATTTAAAAATCAATAAAATTTTGCTAGAATCACTAACAGTCAGTATGTAATCAGCCCGTTCAGCAACATATATAACTATTTACAATGAAAAATTAATTTTGAAAGCTTTTCACATATAGATGAAGTATGCAGGTGCTCATTTGGTTCTTTTTTCTTCTACACATTTCAGATAAACAGACATCAATCTTCGTAAATTGTTCGTTTAACGCTTCATTCATGGATGAAGAAAATATATTCAAAATCCACATAACAACAGCCAATAAAATAAAATAAAAAACAAACAAAAAATGACGCAAAATTTGTAAAAGTGTACCTAAAACAATATGCAAAACTAAATAAAACTAATATACATGATAAACTGAATCAAAAGTTTTAAACAACGGCAACTGTTATGCGAGTGAGATTTTGCTGCGATAATACAAACATACACAAATACACACTCACATCTATATATATATTCATATATATATTTATAAATAAGTAATGAAACTTATACTTGATAAGATTTGCTCAATTTTATTGTTTCATACGACTTTTCTTCTATATAGTGTAACAAACACTCATTATATGCAATTATTTTATACGCTATAAGCAACTACAAATAAACTATTTACATTACAAAAAAAAAAGAACTAGAAAAAATGAAAGAATTTCTTGTATATACAAAACAGTAAAAAGCATCCATAAAAAACATACTAACCATCAAATACAAACATAACAACACTTGAGAAAAAAAGACATTATATACATAAAAATAAAATACAAATCAGACCTTAATATTTTACGTAAATAAATGGTTGTGTACTTATGTACAATAAAGAGTGAGAACGACATACATAGTTATTAATTTATAAAAGTCGGAGCGAACGTGCATAGGATGCATCGTAGCAAAATTTAAAGGGATTACAGCCACAAATTGTACAAAATTGTGCAATGGAAAGAAAAAATGCGGATCGAGTAATGTGATTCACCCTCTTGTCATAATTCTTGTTTTTATTTCGTCGCTTTAAAATTGAAAGATTTTTTTTTTCATTCGGTGCGGTGGTCATCAAATGCCTCAATGCAATAATAACCAAAAGAAGTGTATGTGCGTGATTAACAACATAACAACGACGACGACGATACAAAAACATACACTGAAATAATAAATTGCAATTAGTGTAAAGAAAATTTTGAGAAATGAAAGTTCGTTCATCACACGGCCACAATTAAAATGGACACAAAAAATAATTTGATGTGCATAAAATAGGAGTGTGTGTTAAACATAGACGAATTTATCGATTAATATACACCTATACACAATATATTATATAAAAAAACAATTACTCAATTTAATCACTTGACAAAAGCATTTACGTATAGAGAGCCGAAGTCATAAATGTAATGGCAGCAACGATGATAATGGTGACTATGAGGGTATTGTCGATGTTGATGCCATTAACGATGATAGACGCTGCACACAACGACTATTATTATGTCAACATCAATGCCGATATCTAGATTATTCGGACATCCATCAAATATGGACATGATACATAAAGAGATGTGTGCATGATTTTTTTTTTCAAATATATTTCTCAAATGGTTGTGAACAAATTTTAATTTCAACTCTCTGGTGCAATCAAAATCAAACAACAATAAAACAACAGCCCCCACAAAACTACCAAAAAAGACTAAGCGACAACATGTAATAAAAAGAACATAATAATTAACCAATATTTACGAATTAAAACAACAAGAAGAAAAAAACCAACATCAACAAACCAAAAAGATCACAAAACAAATTAAAACATTATATATACCATACGAATTATTACGTATTATCTCATTTCTCTTCATCGATAATCATTTCTTAATCATTCGTCATTATTTAAGCCAATCATCAAGAAATGGTACCATTTAACCAACCAAGAAACATTTAAATTTAACAAAAAAGTATACATAACCAACTTAAATAAAAAAAAAACAACCGTCCTCTTTTTAAAAACAACAAATTAAACAAAATACACACACACTATTAATGCGTGAATGAGGAAATTTTAAAACAATCTCACATATAAAACATTTCATATTTAGAATTATTTAAACAAAAGAAGTAAAAAAAATTAAAGAAGTTTTAACTAAATATCTCACTTATTGATCCCTAGAAAGATTTATTTACAATTATTTTTTGTATATGTATACAAACATACACACTAATGCATAACAAGTGAGTGAGACGAAACGAAAAAAAAAAAACAGTGGCCAAAGTAATCAAATCAAAAACTAGCTCTTAATACATTTTCCTAAACTTTTTCTTTCGATCGCATCGACGATTCACTTATTAATTTTATTCCTACCATTATTGTGGCATGCACGTGAATAAATGAAAACGAAATTTTAAACAAAAAATATAAAAAGAAAATAAATTTCCAACACAAATATATAAGTTCGATACGGGGTCAATATAAAAGTGCTAAGTTAAATTTAAAAAAAGTTGCCAAGCAAAACAAAAAAGGGGCATTTGGCCCCGACTTTTTTTTTTAAAAGAAAACTATGAGAATAAAATTGAAAATTGTTTAATTTGCTTAACACACATGCATACACAATTGTAAACAATGTAAAAAAAAGTGACTGAGGTACGAAAGTGAAATATAAATTGGTTGAACATGTTATTTTCCGTTTAATTCATGACAATTTCAAACAAGTGAACATACACCAAACACACCAAAAATAAAAACGAATCCACTAACATTCAATTATTACATACACACATATAAAATAGTCGAATTATTATTTTGTGATCCATCAACGTGTGGCAGACAAGTATTTGATCCCAAAGTCATTCATTGCAATCAGATAATAAGTAGCACTTTGATTGACAACTATTCAGCTCAGGACGCGTCACAAATATAAAGGAACTTAATTCAATAGATTATTTTGTGCAAATAAAGTTTTACGCCAACTTTATTTCAAAGGTACGTACACACGTCTTTTTCTGTCTCATTTTTGTAAATGATGTATGTGTTTCACCATATATATTTTTTCTTCTTCATCATCTTCTGTTGATGTTGTGTGCTGTTTTTCTTCTGTTCGCATAAAGTATTTTTGCATTCAATTGACAAATGGATCATGGTAAACTGTATGTGGAAGTTTGTGTTGTAACAAGACTTCAAAAAAATACGAGCCCGCATCATCCATTATGTACAATTGCACATTCATTTGATTTCATCCATTTATTCTCGTAGCGCATACGGAAATTGTAGCAAATTTTTTTCAGATTCAGCCCCTCTTCGTTTCTTTCCTATAAATGAAAAAGAAGAATAAGGAGAAGAAGAAGAAAAAAATATAAAAGAATGAATGAACACACAAAAAGAGATGTTCCAATCTTTGCCCTATGTAAAATCAACCCATTTCAATATTTAAAACTTGAACATCGGCATAAAAATGTTGGTGCTTTGATCGATGCGTATGAAATTTAAATGAAATGTCAATTACACCCTTCCACATTCACATCTCAGATACGTATTCTTTCATTCAATGATGTCCGCATTTTTATTCACATCCTTCTCTCAATTCAAAACTACACACTGGGTGTGTGTGTGTCAGTGGACGCACTCCTTTTGGTATTCTGATCTATGAACCGAAAGAATAATGGTCGATGCCAAATGTATCCTTTGTTTCAATAATTTTAAAACAGTAGTGTGTAAAGGGGCCTTACACCCCCCGAGGTTTGGAAAATTCTTTTGATTTGTTTTTGATGAGAGTAAAAAATCTTTAAATTTCCTAAGTTTTTTAAAGGAAAATCATCCTCCCATCATGGGGCGGAAATGAATGAAACGAAATTTTCTCTCTCATAGGCGCAGCCATATTGAAAATTTTGTATGCGCTTATATGTAAAATTGGTGGCGCCACTGGTATATTTGATGGAAAAAGAAGAACATGTTTGAGTCTCACTCGTTTATATGTAAATTACATAGACATTTCCAGGCCATGCCTCCCGTAATCAACTTTGAATCCGAGTAGAATCAATAAATCCCCTATTAGAATAGAGTTTTGGAAAAGGCAAGGGATTTTCTCAGGAAAACATATTTTTCCCCTACATATTTTTTACACTAGAATAGACTTTTCACAATTGGACACCCCCTAGAAATTTGACCTCGTACGCTACTGTTTAAAATATTGAACACCCATTCAAATGGAAAACATTTTCTCTACGATGTCCAATGAGTTTGTCGTAAGACGAGAATGGCAATTCAACTGGTATAGAAATGTGCATAGAAATTAGCCATCATTTTACAATAGTAAATGGACAACAATTGGCACATTGGTTGCCTCTGTCGAAATATGATGTAGAAATAGTGGAATTGTATTGTGATGTGTGTAAGCATTCCATGTTCAATTATTTTCTATATTATTTAAGAAAATTACAAGTTTTCATTTTACATTTTACGATCCCAACTCGTACCCAATATTATCATATTCGGTCTATAGAAGAATTGAGTGAAAAAAAAAATGCTCGGCATGCTTTTTGAAACAAAATGAAAATTTAAAAGGGCAATGATGAGTCAACGACATAGCATATGCAGACGCATGTCATTCGATGCCTACATTTTTGTGCCGAGATTTCATTCTCTCTCTCTCTCTCTCTCTCTCTCTCTTCAATTTATTTTACTCGATATGACTGTGCTATACTTATAGACATTGATTTTATGAGGCGCTACGTTGATGTCTCAAAATTAATGTGTGCTGAACTTAACTGAAATACATACATTAAACATGAGCTAATAAGTGCTATGCCACAGCGACAGTGAAGCAGAGATGCTGTCGAGAGAAATTCGGATAGAGGATAGAGGAGATAAGTAAAGAAAGAAAACCAGCAAAAAAAATTTGAAACATACAAAAAGCAAACATTACGAAAATTGCGAGGAAAACAAAATATAACTAAAATTTTGATAATTCGCCAAGTCTGCCATCATATGTATATGTATATGTTATTTAACTTAGTCAAATGTTTGTAGGTTCCCGTCGATTTCAATCTCTATTCGGTATCTTGTACAAGTGAGTTCATCACAGGCGCAGACATACATACATTTCTTTATGTGCCATAATTTTCGTAAGAAATCCCATTTGTCATGAGTCCACATAACTTTCGACTGGAAAATGAAAGAAGTTGGGAAAACTATTTAAAAGCTGTCTTTTTTGCACTTAACTTTCAAACACAAAGCTTCATTTCAATGCGCGAATCAAGCCAAAGTGAATAATTTCATTATTTATTGTAATAAAGGAACAAGATTTTAGTGTGAAAAATATATCAAAGGGAGCTTTTTAAAAGCAATTTCAAATGATGCACGAGCCGAAGACACACCTGGCACATGGTCGCTAAAATGATTCAACATACATACACACAGCGCAAAGCTCATATAGCTTGATAATAAATGTCAAAAATCAAATAAATAAAAAATAATTCAATAGTTAACAGAGGCACGACAAATGTATTTGCGCAAAAAAAAACACACACACACACACAAACGGCATTAATAACAATATAGCAGCGCACATAAAATGCATGAGAGCAAAAAATCAACAAAATATTCAGAGACATTTATACTAATTGTCACCTAAAATATGTAGTCGTCATTAACATGCTTTCGGTCTCGCGCATTATACCAAAATTCGAAATGAATGCTCGCCCATAGCCATACTCATAGCTATAGTCATAGCCGAAAGCATGTGTGTATTTTATACATATTACATGTTATATGTGAAAAACCAAGGACTGATTGGAAAATGTTCCGAATAATAGAGCGAGAGAAAGAGAGAGAGAGAATGAGCGGAGTGTGATTTTTACGACTCTTGTGGAAAGCTCTCTCACACCAAATGTGAGTGTTCTGTAACCAGTACACTGTACATTGCATTTTAGTATAGAGAGACAAATCACAATGGGGATTTTACTATGATTTTTCGAGATAAAAGTAAATTTATTGCATGCTGAAACACAATAAAGATTTCTAAATCAATGCATATTGTCGTTGTTAAGTGGAAATTTTAAACCCAACATAATATACTTAGTATGGTACAAAGAAATAAAAACAATTATTTTTCCCACACCATTTATTTTCCAATTATATTAAATCGTTTACTATTTTAACGAATAAGAGGGAGAGAGAGAAAGGCATAGAAAGGAGAACCATATTATATCGAGAATATTGTATGATAGTCAAGGTTTTGATCATGTTATGCCGAGCCGATATGGTGTAGAAGAGTTAGACCGTGTGGTTTGAATGAATATGCTTGCGACGAGACACAGAGTGATAGAGATAGAACAAACATTCTAGTGGGGACAGTTTAACGTAATTGACATAACACAATTTGTTCGATTGTGTTTCTTTAATGTCCTGGGATGGATTTTAATCACTTTTCAAAACGAAATGCACATTGAGTTGTTCGCAAAGGGGCCTTAAAATCACGCTTAACGGACAATGTCTTTAAAATAAAAACTAAATCAAATTAATGCATACTCATATTAAGCTCGGCATGGAAAAGTTCAACTTAACCAAAAAAAAAAACATACCAAAAATTTAAAGACACATACTTATCAAGTTTAACGGAGATAATACGCGCATCACACTTAAATACATGAAATAAATGCAAGCACATGTCGACACAATTTGAAATTCGAGAGTTACACACATTTGAATAGATGTGGCTTCATTAGCATTCAAATCTCAAATAGGTATTACTTATGATGAGACACATCTTTCATCGGTTTTGTATTCTAAATAGGAAATAATAAGAATAGAGAGATACATTTATTTTCGGTAGGTTTGCAAAGTTAGGAATACAGAGATTCCAGTGAATCTAAGTAGTTTTACATCGAATTTGATTATCATAAGAATGGTTGATTCCATTTCGCTCTTATGACGCTCAACGAGAGTCATGCGTATTTCATTTGATTACATAGATAAAAACGATTTAGAATTTGATTCTTAGGCATGTGTATTAAATTTGTCTGAAATGAATATATATGTTAAAGCTGAAGTGGATGATAAAAATCGACATAATTGCATATCAAAACGGCAATCATGTATTTATTTGATAAAGTGGAAGCACATAAAAAATCATCTAATTTTTGACAAACCAGTTGTTGTTTTCGCTCAGCCTGTTTCGATAACTCTGAAGATACATTGAGCTTTTCCTTCAAGTCGTAAATAGCACGAACACACACGATCACACACAACAACAATAAAAAATAAATAGGCAATAATAATTAAATTTCAGATTGTCTGACATATATACACAATTTCATCAGGTTTTTTGTGCATGTGGCGAATTTTAGTGATTCTCATCAATGGTATGAAATATTGATTCACTTGATATACTCAATCTCTCTCGTTCTCGCTTTTTTGACACATAAGCCGAATATCAACAAAAAAAAAGTTACAAAAAAACTCACGAGAGACGTAAACACATTTCTGTGTTTGAAATACATTGACAATTGTTGATTTTTATGGTGTGTTTCTATCTTGGTTCTGTTGAAATCAAAACACGATATATGTCTACGATTTGTTATACTTCCGGAGTGTATATGTGACGGACAATACATCCAAGTGCACATTTAATTTCAGTTTCGACTCATTTTACAGCCTCATTTGTTTTGATATTTGGTGTTTGTGTGTCTGACACAAAAAAAAAAAATAATTGTGAAATTCTAGAAGCCTATAAACGAGAAAGGAAAGAATGGATGTTCGCACATGCAGTCATACTATATATGCCGTAACGAAAAATCTGTTTGAACCTCTATCCTTCCATCTTTCGTTTACTTTTTCACTCACTCTCCGCCTATCTCTCGATCCATCGATCCATTTTCGTATTTTGTGCTTGCGAAAATTTATGAGCGAGTATAGTCGAAATGAAGCAGAAACAAGAACCAAAAGAATTATTGACATGAAATGTAGTTGAAATGAAAAAACAAACAAACAAAGGGAACAAAAAATCAAGAGAAATCGAGAGACACACAGAGAGAGATTTGAACGAGATGCACAGGCATAAACATAACACACAAACCAAACTAAATGAAACATTAAACACAAAAGAAATATCTAGTAACCGCAAGAAAACAAAAAAAAAAATGAAACTATTCTCTGTATATATTTATAAACTTTGAAATATGTTACCCAAAAGTAATTAACAAGGAAATGTGGGCCAGGGTTCTGCCATGTGTAAACGTCTGCGTCTTCTTCTACACAAATGTTCACTCTTCTATGCTCATTTATTTCATTTGTTGTTTTTTCTTCTTTCGTTTTGTTTGTTTCGTTTTCTCTGTTGATGTTCGGCACACAAATTTTCAGCTGTTATTTTTTCTTTACATATTCTTTACGTACTCCGTCGAAAAACAATCGAAATTCATTTCATGCATATTTTTCATGATTCCGTCGGTTGTTTTGCATGTTACTTAATGAAAAAAAATCGTATTTCTTCAAAATAACAACAACAACACCACCACCAACAAAATGCAATGTACATTTGGAGTGAGTGCTGTTTCAAGAATCATTATTCTATGGGGCATTGCCGCCCACTTTACGATTCATTTTTCTCGACTTTACTTGCCTTTACATCATAAGAGATATGCTAGGTGAAACATTTTATGTGCGAATGATAATTAAAACATCTCCAATAGAAATGCGACATCGGTGGATGGATGGCGTACAGCCATGAGTTTAATTGAAACAGCATGACATTTTTCGTTGCTTCGGTGTACGCATCCATTCTGCTTCGCTTCTGTGGCGGTTTATCTCTCTTTTTCGCAACAAAGTTTGCCAAAGTTAATAATTTTTTGGCGCCCCAAAAATGGTGAAATAATAATGCACGAATTTCAATCAAATCCACATGCATAAATTAATTTTTAAACACAATGCACAAATTTAACCGATATTAAATTCGTACGCCATTCTTGACATTCAATTTTGATTGATTTTAATCATACACTCGTACAATATTCAATGCATGAGCATTATTGTGGCCAACAATGATTGTCAATTTATAAATGAAAAACCGTTGGCATTTTATTCAATAAGCTCATTTCATTCGCTCTTTGTTTTTCATGACGTCTGAAAACAATTCGAGAACAAGATGAAAATAATGATGAAGAAGAAGTGGACAAAAATTTATTACAATAAACTGATTTTCATTTTCATTCATTCCATTCAATGGCACCTTTTTTGCTGTGAACATTTCGGAACCATTTTGCCTGTGTTCTTGTTAGATTTCAAAAAAAAAAAAACCAGTCAACATTGTCCTGTGAAGAAAAAAAACTAATAAAGTTTTTTTTATACTTTAGAAAATTGATTTCTTGCAAAAGCACTAGAAATAACTGTGCCAAAAGAAAACAACAAGCAAAGCGATGGACGAAATGGAGCGTGCTGTTTTTGATTGAAATACTGGAAAATAATAATAAACCAAAGAGGCATTAATTCTCAGTTTGAAAGAATTTTCCAAGTCCGCTTATAAGCAAAAGCGTATTTTGAGTGTTTCCGAGTGTTTTGAATTTTTTCCCTTAACATTTTATAATAATTCGGAGAATTCTCATATTTGCGTACTTTACACATATAAACATTTACATACTATATCCCTCTATTTCATATATACATTGTGTATATATATTCTCAAAACTCCCGTCAGACAAAGAACAATGTTATGTACGCGATGCCAACAAAGTTGTCTGAGAGAAAAAGAGATGGAGAGAGAGAGTAGAAGAAAAAAAGATGCTACCGCTGAAGAGAAGCAATGTAAAATGATGAGAGAAAAAAAATATCGAAGATAAAAATTCCCATTTAAGCTGTATTGAAGCTTAAAGTACTCACCAATGCCTTGGTTGGTTCTCTGCTCTGTGCTCTATGTCGTGTAAAATATCAATAGTCTGTGAATAAATTGTCTATGAAAATTGTTCATCTGATCAAGTTTTTCACATTAACTTTGATTTCTATTATGCCGATGTCCAATGAGCCTCAGCGCATATAAGAAAACATCATCGTACATGACTTCGCTTTTCCTCTCGTCAACGATGGAGAAACTTGGCATTTTTCTATCCATTCTAGATAGTTAATAATAAAAATATATCGCTATAGATTGGATGAGAGCGAACAAAAAAAAAATGTATGAAAAAAAAACAACAACAAAATAAACATAAAATAAAACAAAACAATCGTGTATTCAATAAGCCTTGATTCAGCCATGAAATCTAGAATATCCAGATTATCGTATGATGTTACATGTTTTTTTACTTTTGTTCCCCTTCCCCGTCTCTCTAATTCTCTATCTATTTGTGACTGTCCCCCCTCCTCTTTGCTCTGCTTTATTGTCACCATTTAAACAGTCTGGGAAATGAAAATGAAAAGCAAGTGGTAAGGCCGTTTTCCAACAACCATGTGATGCATAAAACAACGCATATACACAATGGAAAGCAACTCCAACGCATAAAAATAACATCCACTTAGCGAATGCTTTGAAAGCGAAACAGCGAAAATAAAATCTCGATCTCGAATATATATTTATATGAGCGCATGTGTATGTGTGTTCACGACGACTGTGAATAAAAGGACCCAATGAAAGAAAAAGAAAAAAAACGAAACGAAAACTTACTCGCTTCAGTGACACAATGAACAAGTATGAATATCTTTCCATATATTGTTTTAGTATCTCGTGAAAATATTTTCATATTTTCCCATTTCAACAATTTGTGATTTATACGGATGGTAATGAACGCACAGCTCAATTTCGATCTAGACCATTTACGCTGATTTATTGTGTACAATAAAATGAAATTGTTTGGCTGGAATTAAGGCGAAATCTTTTTCTCACGATGTTTTAATCAGTTCATTTGAGAAAGATGAAAACAACTATTCGCACAAATCAACGAAATGTATGTCATATGGGATATTTGGCTGATGCTTTAGTGTTGTTGTTTTTTGTTGATATTTCGTTCCTCTATTTTCCTTCCGATTTGTCTTATATGATTTCTTCTTCTCCTTCATTTTATAAATAAAAACCATATCATTCGAATGATTTAGAAGCTCAATTCATTTTTAAGTGATTTGCTTGGTATGCGAAGATCGTTGCTTGTTTAACACACAGTTTTGTATTTTGTTTTGCTTTGAAAAAAAAAGAAGAAGTCAAAAAAAAATGGAATAGAAAAACTACCCATAAATTTCATCAGTTCACAGCCAAAGTGGCGCTGTTTGTCATCATCCCCAATTTTCTCATATTCATACATATTTTGTGACACAGTTTTTTTCTACACTTCAAAAGATGTAAATTTTTTTGTGCTCTTATTTGTTTATCGCTTTCAGACGGATACCTTCAACAACGTAATCCTTCAATGGCTGCTGTAAATTCGGTGAGTGTTTCGATCGAATAGGTGTGAATATCGTATTACTCATTACTTATTTAAATTAGTCATGGGATTTGAGAGTGGATTCAGTTCGCACAATAGAAAATGCAAAAATACAAAAAAGAAAATAATAGAGAATAAACGAACGAAAACAAAAATCATAGAGATATTGTCGATTATTCTCATGTGAATTTAAAACTTTACGAAAGTTTTCCATACACAAGAAACAAAAAAGAGAGAGCATATATTTATGTGGTGTCATATTTTGTAATCTTTTTTTTATGCGTAGGTTCAAGGAGGTTTGCGACTTCCTTTGGCCGGTATCGCATCACCAAGACTGTTGATGTGTAGCGCATCAATGGGTGCAGAAGGTTCGGTAACACTTCAGTTACGTGAGGCAGTTGAGGCTCCCGATTCAAGTGGACAGTCTGATACGACCGCATTGACGATTGGCTATCCAGAGACAGATCTTTTGGCTGACATACAAGGATCAATACAGGCTACAGGTAATCGGTGACCCAATATTCGAAAACATTTATCAACGCCATATCGTTCGATATCATCATCAACAGTAACCAATAATAAAAGCTTTCAACCATATTGAACGCACAGAGAACAAACACACATACATATACCGATTGTCGTATATATTCACATTTTTTTTTCTGTCGACACATAATTCATTATTGCTGTATAGGGGGTGCTTTTATGTATGTGCTGAAATAAAATTGATGAAAAATATTCGAAGCGTAAAAATTCTGCACACAAAAAAAATGAGAATTCTCTCGTTTCTGAAACTCAGTATGAGTGCAAAATGTGTTTCTATGTGTATGCATTAAGCATAAACGATTTCTGTATGCAAATAGCAGAAGAGTCATTTAGAGAGCTCTTTTGGGCTTTAGTTCAGCGATTCTTATGCGATTCCTATGCAGATGTCCATATCTTCAATTTATTGTGTTATTCTGTGTGATTTTTGTGGGTGTGTTTGGATATAAGTGTGTGTGTGTTTGTGTTTGTGAGAGATAGAAGTATATTTCAAATGGAAATTTTTTTATCACCTTACACCCTTCAACACTGATATGGTTAGATAGATAGACGAAGAAAAGAAATAAAAATTAAAGGATGTATATGTGTGGCAGTGCGTGTGTCATCTTACCAATCACATTTTGATATATACATATATCTTGTTGCTCTCTACATCTTTCTGTGCTTTGAACACATCTGAAGGAATTATTTTTACATTTTCGTATGGTAAAATTAAAGTAACAGATGATGTTACCATTTTCAATATTTTAGATAACTCAGATCATGGCATTTCAAATGCATTCATGAACAGCACTCGGTTGTTACACTTTTTTCCTATGGTAAATCAGGTAAACATTAGTGAGCAAGCGAGATACATACGATGAAAAAAGCCAGAAAAACGAATCATTTGCTCAATATTTTTTTGTTCTATGCCTAGTGGAATGCAATAACAATGTTCGGAATATTGTTCAAACTAACACTGCTGGTATAGATACACCGAAAAAATATATAAAAAGAGCACATAAAGCTCTCTATACATAGTTAATTTTATCGCCTCAATATTGTTCGCTTTGATGACTTTCGCATAAATATACACACAATGCACACACACACATACCCCCAGAAGCTATATAGAATTTTCGAATGAATGTACTCTAAAGAATACTGATAATAAAAGCATTACAGTAGCCATTGAGTACGCAGGTGTTGAGTTTTAATTGCGTGTACTCGAATTGTTTCTTCGAGCACAAAGTGATTTCAACCGAACGTTTCTCATATTGGTGTGTGTATGTGTATGTGTGTTTTTTTTTTACTGTTGTTGTTTTTTTTCTCTTTCTCGGGATATTCAATTGTGTCTGCTTATTTTCTTCACTGTTCAATAGTCGGTAGTGTAGTCAGTAAAAACTCGGTGCAAAGCAATGGCACCGTTACCGTTACAACTGTGCCAGTCACAACGACCAACGGCAACAGCAACATCAATGTGAATCGCAACCAATCATCGAATACAAACGTTAAGGAAAATGTGGTAACCACCGCTCAAAATAAAACAACAACAATCGCATCATCAGCAGTAGCGGTGACAGTGGCAACGGTAAAAAAGTCCAGGCCGAAAACATCATCACCAACACGACACGGACCTCAACAATGCCAAGTAAATATCGTCACGTTTCGCATTTTATATATATGAGTGTAGAGAAAGTTTTATATTGAAAAATGGACTTCACGTTTAATCAATATCATCATTATTGTGCGTGTGTACTATGCTGTGGATCCTAGTGTGGCACTGACTCTTTCAATAAGTTTTTATTTATCCAATGAATGAAAATTTTCTCATTTGATTATCACTCTCGCCGATAGGTATGCAGCAAAGTGTTCGGTAATGCGTCTGCTTTGGCAAAACATAAGCTTACTCATAGCGATGAACGAAAGTATGTGTGTGGCATGTGTTCAAAAGCATTTAAACGACAAGACCATTTGTAAGTGTAACCTTTCTTTTTTTCTTGTGTTAATAAGTTAGAAAATATTTTAAAATTTAATGTGAACTTTAGCGTTAACATGAATAAAAACTTAAAATAAGAAAAAACGACGAAGATCATGCATCACTGCACGAGAACACAGAAGAATAAGAAGACAGAGACGAAAAGCAAAAGCATATATTAGATTAAACTCTAATATATAATAATGAAGTTCATATAATACCAGTGGTTGTTCTCGCCATTTTTCGTTGCTCACCTTCTCTTTCCCTTCTTTCGTTCTTGCTCTCAATTACTTAGCAATGGTCAGCAATGGTTAGAAATGTTCGTTCTGGCATTGAGAGCATGGACATATGCGTTTATTTCGTCGATTGGCATGAAAATCAATTCTTTACACTTGCTCACATTCGAGTTGATTCGACTCATTTTGTGGATCTCGATTTCTCATTGGATTCGTAAATCATTACGTGTGCTCTTATTTTTTCTTTCTCTCTTGTTTTTCTCTCTAACACGTTTCTTTTTTATTAGAAATGGTCATATGCTGACTCATCGTAATAAAAAGCCGTACGAATGTAAGGCAGAAGGTTGTGGTAAATCCTATTGCGATGCACGATCGTTAAGACGACACACTGAAAATCATCACAATACGGTGGCAACGGCTCCAACTACGCCAAATCAATCGATTTCATCAACAGGACCTCTGGGTGGCTTGAGTTTGTCGCCAGCAACCGCAAGCGGTAAGCTCATAATAATTTTATTTTGCTTTTCTCACACTTTCTTCATATCTCTTTCTCTATCATTCACACACACTGACCGCTCAAACTTTCATCTAACGAAGAATAAAAAAAAAAGAAATATAAGTGCCTGTCACTTTTGTCAACTTCCCGTCTAATGATTCTCGCATTCAATGCAAAACTCGACTGCTTCCTTTTGTCATGTTTGTAAACTTTTAACAAAAGTTTAAACGTTTATTAATACCCATGCTCTTATATGCATGGATGTCAGTGTGAGAGATAATTTTCAAATAATTACCTTCATTTAAATAAATTCACATTATGAATGAAAAGGTGACTGTATATTTAATGATATTTTCTGCTTTTTCAATTCGATTTTCCAACTTCCGTGTTCGTCTTTGTTGTTGCCTCTTTTCATCTTGCTTTTGGTGATGTGCAATTGTGTGGCCGTAAATTAGGTGATGCAAGCTCTCCGCATGGTTCTAATTGTTTGCAATTTAATGGTAATGGAGTAGGAGGAGATGGATCGAAATCACCGAGCTTACCAGCTGCTACTAGTAATGAAGGGCTGTCACGTCAACAGCTTGAGCTCATTAGTCAGATTATGCAACAAACAAAACCAAACGTGAGTCTCACTTCAGCCAACCAACAAAATGGTCAAAAATCCATTCCGCGCCCAAGAACCTGGAACATTCAGGTAAAAAAAAATATTACTTAACAATGTGTCACACACAACAAAAATAATATTCTCGACTATTGCGGCTGTAAAAATGTGCAATTCATTTTGTGCGCACAAACTGAACAGAAAAAAGTTTTAATTTTTTTTAAATCGAGAAAAGAACAAAAAACAACAGATTGAACAACAAAAAAAAACAAGAACCAACAAAGTTTTAATCCTTGTTCATTTTTGCATAGACTCAACTGCAACAAACCCAAACGAAATCTGAAGTTGAAACGATAAACACAACATCAAACGCAACTACAACACTACAATCAACGGCCAATGGGAATACGGTGAAGACGGAACAAAAACCCGTTGAATGCAATTTATGCCATCGAAAGTTTAAAAATATACCAGCTCTTAATGGTCATATGCGTTTGCATGGTGGATATTTCAAGAAAGATGCCGAAGCGAAAAAATGTGATAAAAAAGAGACACCTGGGCCACCGTTGCAAACAGCAAGCGTTGGCATTCGGGCTCTCATCGAGGAAAAAATCATAAGCAAGCGAGGAAAAGACATACTCAAAGTAATTTGCTTGAATTTCATTTACTTATTAACTTTCATTTCTTATTCATTGTCATTGTCGTCGTCGTCGTCTATTTCTTCGGTTCCCTTTTTTTCGTTTGCGTGCACTTTATTCTTGTCGTATTAATATTTTGTTGTTTTTTTTTTGTTTTTTTGTTCAGAATTCATTTGCAGTACCTGCACCGCCAACATTATCACGTCGTTTAATCGATGCGGATAATTTTGTGGCACCAAAAACATTGACTACAACGAACGTTGTGACGCCGAGCCAAATATCAAATGCCATCACGTCGATTCCAGTGTGCCAAACAACAACCATGACAAATGTGACCCCAACGACAATTGCCAAGAATATTCAGTTGAGCACGAATTTAAATAAACAGAATTCTATTGAAACAAAAGATGCAACACTCATTGAATTACTAAAACGCGGTACAAAAGTGGCGGTCAAATGTAATTCAAATGATACGAATGGTAGTACGCTGACATTTAAATCAAATGCAACACAACAGACAACAACAACAGGAGCAGCAACAACAACGGTTCTATTGCCAACAAATGTGACCGTATCCAGTCCGGTTACGCCAACTACAAGTCCATTGGGCATATCATTGTCAAATAATTCCGTGAAAAACACTCCACTTGCACTAACCATTTCACAAAATGCAAATGGATCAAGCGACGTGTACACGTTAGCCTATTCAACTGATGCGACATCGACATTCTTCAATGAAAATGATGTGTATAATGTACCAGATACAGCGATGCTTTTGCAAGCAGTCGATTCCATTCAACTCTTACAAAATTCCAGTGGTTCGTCGCAGCTTGGTGACATTTCAACTATTGGCGAATATGCATTGGCCGATGGCGGTGATCTGAACGATACAAATATTCTATCACAATATACACCATCGCGACAAATTCAGGCTGTGCTAAATTCACCGTTACCGGAAAGTTTGGCCGAATTTAGCACACTTCATTCCAAAGATTTTGTGCTCTATGGCACCGAAAGTGAAAATGATGATTCACCAACGGCACACACATCGAATTCATCGTTGCCCACATCACCGCTATCTTATCCAACACCGCCAGCCAGCCATGAAGGAATTACACAATCGTCACCGTTCCTTGATGATACTCATCATTTTGGCGATGCCAATTCTATATTTGATGATAAGAAAAATATTAGCTTCCTCGATGAAAATGGATTATTCAAAGACATTAAAGACACACGACTCAGCGATTGTGAGCAAATTTTAAAATTAAAACATGAGCTTTTCAACGACACCAAAGTTGTGATGGACGATACATTGTATTTTAAGAGTGAAATTAAAAATGAATATAATTCCAAGAGCGATTTAGCCAATGCAAATAATCACACCGAAAATATCGACGAGTTTAATCAAAACCTATCGTTTCTTGATGAATCACGAAATTTCCTTGTCGACAGCCGCAATCCATCGTCACCATTGTCGGCTGCATTTTTTACCAGCACCATGTCAAGCGCTGAAGAAGTAAAAGAAGCACTCCAAGAAGTGTTGCCTAACGAAAGTATTGCATGTGAACAGAATAACGACATTGATTTGTATTACTTACCATCGGCCGCATTTCAGTCACAAATGATGCTCAACTCTGACGATCCATTGTTATCATCATCGCCAAAGGATTTTATCATTAAACATCCCATAAATCGGTTCGAATTCGAATCGGGATCCAGTGCAAAAAAGCAAAAACTTGATGGTGGCGGTTGTGTTAATATAGAAAAAAGTAAAATACTCATTACAAATCAAACGGAAAAAATGCACACCGAGACCTTTTTGAGCCCGTCCAATTTACCGATAAATGCACCAACAACCGTTGCAAATTCAACCACTAACAGCACTACAACTGAATTCACACAGCCCGCACATCAAGTTAAAGAAAATATTCAATGCTATGCAAAGAGTTCACAGATGAATGTTCGACGAAATATCGCATATAAATCGATTTTACGAAAAGCATCGGCTCCATACTATACACCATCACCCATTCTTGATCCAAAACGAATTGCGCCCGGTTTGTATGCAGAAGTATCGAAGGATACATCCGAAGATATGATTGATTTTGAATTTGCCGAAAGTGCATGTGTTCCGGAGTTTACCAGAAAGTTTAAAGTAAACATTGGTTCGGATTTTCAAGCCATAATTCCATCAACGGAAACAGCAAAATCAGCTTATGAAAACGACAAATCGGAGAGAGAGCTGCCGTTGTGGAAGCCAAATGTGTTACAAAACGAAAAGCAAATTCAGCGTTTCGTTGAATTGGCCAAATCGAGTGCAGTTCCATTAGCGTGTCATTCGGAAGAGATGGCATTAAAAGCGTTGCTCAATGCAAACGGTGATATTCCAAATGCAATTTTGAAAATGTTACATGAACCACCATCGTCTATTCATAATCGTTGGCAACCGCAAGAAGTTGAAACTTTTCTTAATGGCCTTGAAACGCACGGAAAGAACTTTTACAAAATTTCCAAAGAGGTAAATGTTCAATTCACGATGTGCCATTTCTTGGCGCCTCCGGTGTATAGTCTCGTTTTTTTTTGTTTTATTTATGCCCTAGATATTCACTGTTTTTTCGTATGCATTCGCTCTCACTTAGATTCCATCGAAAACGACTGGCGACTGTGTACAATTTTACTACTTTTGGAAAAAGCTTTGCGTTCATTATAAAAGCACTCACTTGAGTTCCGAACTATTCAATTCGGCGGATGGAAATTCGATAAATGCCACAAATCAACAAGAAGCTCGTCCGCATGTTTGTGAAATGCCAGATTGTTCAGCAGTGAGTATCAATTTATTAATTGATAATTTTTGTTTGTTGAGTGTCGCACCAATTTCAATTGTCAGACCTTCTTATTTGGAAAGGAACAAATTTCGAAAATGGAATCCATTTTAATCATTCTTTTGTTTCAATTTTCCAAATGGAATGGATGATTTGGAACATTTAATCAAATAACTATATCAATTAGTATTCGCTATTGGGTGAAAAGGATCATATTTGATTCGGTAAAAAATGAAGAAAACGTTCGATTCATTTATTTGATTATATTTGAAAAACAAGATGAGAAAAAATTGATTCAAAAAACTTTGCTACCCATTGCCATTATATACTAAAAATATAAATATATATGTATATAAATTATGACTAACAAAATCAATAAAATTCATTTCAATTTTCGAAAGAGCTTCACATCGAAAGCAGCGCTGCACGGTCACACACGAATTCATTGCATTGGACGGGGAAACACATTTCCATCTAGCACGGTCAACGGACAAAGTTTGTCAGGTACTTCAATTGCTTTAATCACACAGGAAGATATACCCTGCAAAGTGTTTCCCTGTAAGGTTTGCGGAAAGTACGGCTAACATTCAACAATTTCATTTTCTTTTACACTATACCATAATAACATGTATCGATAATTCGTAATTTGTCCACGTTTTTATATCTCACTACTCTTCTGTTCATATCATTTTGAATAAACAATTTGGCAGTTGCACATGGTTTCATTTTGGATAATAATCGAGAGTAAACGAAGTCTTTGGTTTCGATTAAATACCTGTCATCTTCATTTTTTAGTTTCAATTGAATAATAATGATAGGAACAGTAGGTCTGTAGTTGAACAGTTGTTTTATAGAGATGTGTTTGTCCCGTTTCTTTTATTTATTTATTAATATTTTTTAAATATTGTCTTAGATTACTTAATTAAGACATACAACTCGTATATGTATCATTAATACAGTTATTAGTTTTCTCTGTCTTTGGAAAATTGCTCAATTTATATATTTATATATGAATGTCCGAGAATGAATGTGAGTCTTCTCCTGACTCTCAGCAATTTTTGTATGGCGGTGTTACATTTCAATAAACTCTCAGGAGAAGACACACATTCATTCTCGGACAATCATATAATGGATATATGTTTCGTACATAAAATATCTGCCCAGAGAGTGTTTCAGTCTTTTTCAACACCCATTCTATAAATGGCATATAATACACATATATCATTAATGTTGAATCAAAAACAAATCCCTTCGATAGAACGATCTTAATTTATCTATGGATGTAGTTGAATTGAAGTTTTGTTTAAGATTTAAAAAAAGTTGGATATTTTGGATTCATATTGATTATGTGCATTAAGTTGTTGCTAAAGCTGAAATCTGTTTTTCGTGTATAGTATAATTATTTTCGAGAAAAATAGATAATTTTTCATGGAAAACTTCCATTTGATAGATCTACGCATTGATTAATAAAATATCAAAGAGTTTAAATCATTCCGAAGCCAACAAATTTTGACTTCTAACCAATGAAAATTGGGATTGCACTTTTGTGTGAATAACCACCGATTGCTTTTCACTTTTTTGAACAACTTTAAAATGATCCAACTCATAACTAGTAAATAGTGGATATTTGGTATATTTTGATTTTGTTATAATCATTGAGTGCAAATCGTTTTGGGTCTTTGTTTATGTGTTTCAGGTGTCTCATCAATTCATGCCGACCATTTACGAACATATCTGACATATCTACCTATCCAGTTTCATTGCATTGTTCGCATGAAACATATTGAAACTGTCAATCTCCTTGAATATTTTGTTTGAAAATATTTCGAATTCATTGTGCACTTTTTGTCAGCCGGGATGTAATGTACCTTAAATTATGAAATGGCTGCTACCTATTTTGCTTCGCCATCAAAACTAAACGAAAAACAAACGTATATTTCTGACATTCATGATTTAACAATGTCCAATTAAAACCGGAAAAGTTGAGAGAAAATGAAATGAACATACACACAATTTATGTATTTGTATGTCAAGTATTGTTTTGATGCTCATAATGTTGACTACTTTGTAACTAATATTATAATATGCTGTGCATGCTTAAAAACTGTAAGCTACATTTGTGCTGAATCTCTTTTCCGATCTCACTTTCTCTCTCTCTGTTTCTGTCTCTCTCTCTATTTTTCTCTTTAACACTCTTGATGAATAAAACTGAAAACATTTCTATTTATTAACACTTTATAATTTTTCTCTCTTCATTCTCCATATATTCATGTTTGCCAACGTATCGCCGATGGATTCATTTTATTCAGGGTATTTAATAAAGTAAAGAGCCGTAGCGCACACATGAAATCACATCGAGCACAAGAGATGGAAGCGAGCACCAATTGAAATCTGAAAACGTAATGTTTTGCATTGGAACTCAATGATGATAGCTGCTGTATTGACCAAAGCTGAACAAAAAAAGAAACATGTTGGAGGCCTAATATTAAACATAAAAATCGTAGCATAGTTGCACATTTTTACGAAATTAAATATTATGTATTGACACAGCGGCACGCACGCATACACATAGAAACTCTTCTTACCATAAACATTTAAATTGGATAGCGTTCGATTTCCGTAAAAACGTTAAACAACTTCATTTTAGCATACTTATATTCTTGAAAAAATTGACAATCTGTTTTATTTCTTTTATAAGGTGAATGAAATAATAATAATAACAAAACATTTTATTAATATTCTACTCAAGCAAGGTAACAAAATGAAGACGAAAAAAACCACTCATTATAAAAACTGAATGAAAAATTAAAATGAAAATATTATATAAATCTAACTAAAAATTAGTAACAGTATTGTACAGTGAAAATGTATTTTTTTAAAGAAAAAGAAAATCATCAGTAAATTATGAGTGAACCCATTTTGCCCCAGTATTATTCCAAAGTTTGTTGAAAGCACTTACCAACAAACGGCAAACATAAAATGTCGAAAGAGTTTCTGAATTTGAATTTGAACTGTATGCAATAGCCGATAGATATTTTCGTGTTTTGTGATGTGTTTTTTTAAACAAAAAAAAAATATTTTACTAGTCCAATACAATGTGAATCGGCACACATACATGGTATCGAAAGCCAACGTAGAAAATTGAACGTAACCCAGTAGGTCTTGTAGGTTTTGCAAATGTGAATACCACATCGCATATACTGTCTAATGTATGCAGTGTGATGGAAATTGACAGTGACTATTTGAATTAATTTGCAATAAATTGTGTTAACTAACATCAATTGTGTTAACTATGATATAATTTCGTCTCAAGTGTGATGCAGTCTATCTATCTCTCTCACACAGAGAGAGAATAAAACACACACATACACAAAATTTAACTCAATATAAATATTTTAAATGTAATTGTAGATCAAAGAAATCATGGTTGTTCTTTAGAACTTAAGTGTTGGTTGTCGTTTATGTCTTAAATTTATAATACAATGAAATTAAAGATAATTAAAAATAAAAGATTGTGAAATGATGAAAACCAAGAATAATATGCCAAATTATTAGAGGCTTATGCAGAAAATAATATTAAGTAAATCAAACAACAACAAAAAAAAAGATATAACTGCATCATTGTTTAAAACAGAAATCTATAAATATTTTCTATTCAAGTGACTTTTTAAATTCTATTCAATGAAAACGAAATTGACGAGTTGAACGACGAATTGGGCAATTTCAGAAAAAAAATAGATAGGTAGATAGTGACCGAGATAAATTGGCTGAAAGCGAATGAAGAACGAAATGTAATGCCAAAAACTTCCTGGTTCCAAACTACACAGTTTTACAATCTGCTATAGCAATAAAAATGCTATAATAATGAGTTGAAATCATCTTATTTTATCTCTTATTATACTAAATATATTATTTATTAAATCGAAACAAATTGATAATTAAATAATAAGCTTAGACAATGCTGTCGAACATGTCATTGATGATCGATGAGAGGAAAGAATGATTTAAACAGCAAACTACACACATCAAATTGTGGCAATAATTTTTACATAATGTAATTTTTTGCAATTAATGATCAAATCCTCCATTGGTCTTCTTCGAGCGCGCAATTTCCATATTTAATAATGTGAATGATGAAAAAATGGGAAATTGGTTTTTTTTTTTTTCATTCGTTCGCACATATGTATAAATGTAGTGGTATAAAATGTGAATGTAAATGTGTTTTATTCAATAGAAAAGGAAAAATCATCGTTCTCATTGCAAATATAAACTCAAAATGCATTACACATTGTTTTTTCTGGGTAGAGAATGATCATGAATCAATTTCAATCAAAAAAAATTTAAAATAAAGTTACAGAAAATCTTTCTATATTTTTAGACTTTAAAACTGCTCTTTGATAATCCATGCACATACACAAACATTCTGAAAATATGTCAGCGCCAACTTTTTTGAACGAATTCAAGTGAAAATGTGCTTTGAGCTCATCCTGTAAATAGTGAAACGTTGAAAGAAAGAATTTTTTTTATATCTTTCAAACTGTGGTCTTCATTCGGTTGTTTTCGTTTTTACTTTCTATATTCCTAGATATTCTTTAACTTCTCCTAAACGAATAAAAAAGCGCCTAATTAATACAAAATGCAGCATAAAAGATTATGATATTTTAGAATTTATTGAATTCATTCGAAGAAAATGATATCCAAAGACAAAAATCATACACGTTCGTGCAAAACTGTAGATGGCGGTGTGTATGTTTCTGTTATTATTATTAGCCCAAATAAAAAAAACAACCACAACAACAGATTATTGTGTCGATTGTAAAATCTATTGTGTGATTGGCACAGCAATTATATAAATTATAATAATAAAATGATTAATTTTTCCTCTTTCTCGATTGGATATGATGCAGTAGATAAATTTTTAACTCATAAACTCGAGTGATTCTTTTATATAGTGAAATTATATAGTTAACTGCCATTGCACATTTTCTTTACAATGAGAAAATTTAACGAATTAAAAAAGACAACACTGGGAACGAGATCGTCCGTAATCCATTCGGACACACACAAGCAATGCAGTTAAAACCAAAAAAACTAATCAAAAAAATACAACAACAAAATATTTAAATATTTAATTAAATGTCTATTTATTATAAGTGAGATAAGATTTATAATCACAATTTTTCAGCGTTGGACAAAAGCCAAAATGAAAACTACGTTTTTAGCATAAGAATGAGAAATATGAGAATTGAATTAATATTTGTTGACTATTTTCTATAAGGATCTACGCTATCGCCTAAATCGATAATCAAATCTACAAGTGTACAGTGTACATTCATACACAAACTATGAGTAGATTGCGCTTTCTATCTAAAAAGCCGTATGCAAAGCCAAGTCGTCTTAATTCTTCTCTCTTTGTAACAGAAAAAAAACAAAACAAATAAGAATGAACAGGATATTTGGATTTTTAATACGGTATAAAATATATGTGTGTGATTTAGAGAATATGTGTTCTGTTAAGACATCGGATTTATGCGTATCGCTTTAATTCCGTCTCTGAATGTTAATCGATTCATTCGAATCGAGAAATGAGAAATAAAAACACAAAGGTTTGCATTAAGCGCTCGACGGCAATTAAATGCTAGAATGGAATGAACTAAAGTGGATATGATGTAAAATACTCCGAAATCTGACACGCTCATCGTTGTAGCTTCTTAGCATGTTCAATGACATTTGGTTACATACGAATATATCGGTCAATTTTCGATGTCATAGTGCTAACTGCTAACATCCACTTTTATTCAATCTATTGTACGTATATATATATATTTGGTATGATCAAATTTTGGTATGAAATGTAATTTACCTGAATATATGGCTTCACATGGCACAAAATGAATGTGATCCATCATAAATATGTAGAAACTTTTTTACGTAATTAAAACTCTTTACGTTCATTTTCTGCACTGTGCTAACTTTTGATACATTCAACTAAAGAAACTAAACTTGTCACATAACAATCAAGAAGCATTTTCAATGGAAAAACAAAAAATATGTAGAAAAATAGCATGAACGATGCCATTAGATTAAAACAATGACAAGGCACTTCATGGGCATCTTTGACTCAGTATTTACTTTCGATTTTAAGAAGAAAATACCTTTGGTTTAATTCCCTTTTGAATGATACTCGAAATCGATTTTTGTTTAAATTAAAAAGAAAAAAACAGAATTTTGCAGTTTTCTCAAAATACGTTCTTGCTAATTCACAAAGAAATGGCCAATTCGTCGAAATAGAAAAATATGCGTACTTCAAGTTTGTTCGGGTCGTATGATGCCCATTGAATGAATGAAAGTGAAAAATTAAAAAGAGATGACCTGCCAAAGGGTGTGAAAACAGTCAATTAATATTTCAACCCATTTGTATGAAAAAATAAGTGGAATGAGAGCATGATATGACAAAAAAGTGTGATTCAAGTTTTAATATTGGTTTTCTTCTTCTTCTTCTTTTAAATTTAACCGAATTAACTGTTATTTCACCAAAAATAAGATGAACTCGCCGAAAACCACATATAAAATCACTTAAATTACAATCTTAATGATTTTTTATATTCTTCGATCTTAATGCACCATGTAGATATATTTAAAAATGCAAAATAAAGATAAATGGAAGGTCAGCGATTTAGAAATATGAATGGTATTTGTAATAAAGTAGTCAAGTCAAATTAGATCGCTCAGTTATATGTGCGTTTTTAATTTTGATGTGTCATACTCTGTGTTGTGATTTTTCATAAAAACTTACATAAAAAACAACAACAACAAAACCATGTAAATATGCATCAAAAAGCATTATAACAGAAAAAAACTATATGTAGCTCAAGTGTAAATACTATCTATTTATGTCAACGACATCTTGCACATAAGCATCTTGTTTTTGGACAATGTTGGTAAAAGTAAACCAAACAATAAATCGATTAAAAGACATTCTCTTTTGATAATTTAAGTAAAAAATTTACACAATGAATGTTTTTAATGTGTGGTCATGTTAAAATGCAACTAAAAATATGTTTATACTTTATTTTTAACGATGTTCGAATCGAAATGTTATTCTCATTATTTTCGATTTAGTTTATATATCCTTTTGCGCATATTCTTTCCTTGATCCCCTTTTCCTACCTCTCCTACAAGACGTAGTAACTGATGAAAAAATAAAATTATATTTAATTAAAGAGAATTATAAAAGTCCTTATAGACATATCAATTTACAAATAAAAAAAAAAAACAAACAAACTATTTCTAATTTTAACAATATTGTGAAAGACACACACTTAAGTTTACCAAATACAAGAGGAAATATGAAGTGAAAAATAAATAAACAAATGAATTACTATAGTAGAATTTATGCAACAAAAAATAAAAAATACGTTTTCCCGTAGATTTTCTTCCATGAATCAAATTTAAACTAAAACCAAAGCAAAAACAATAAAAAAAATAAAAAATAAAACATTTTACCTGTAGCAAAATAGTGCAATAAAGTGTCCAAGTAATCCGAGTCCGAAATCCAGAACAGAACATATTTGAATCGATTTTCTTTCCCAAATTTTCTTCGGTCAAATTTTGATTTTCGTTTCAAAGAGAACGTTATTTATTGCCCGCTAAAAGTCCATAATTTGATTTTTGAATTTTTTTCATAGCACCCGCTGTAAAGAAAAATAGAATAAACGGAAATATGTATAGAAAACATTTTTTTTTTTGGAAAACTTATAAACAAAATCCCAAAAAACCTTTAACGGATATGTTTGTTTTGATTTTCTCATCAACGTTGGTGATAGAGTAAAATGAACAAATTTTGGAATTGATATTCTCAGATACATAAGAAAAACGCAAAGATGACAAATGAAATATGTTTGTGCATAATTTTAATGGCACTAATGTCAAACATTACCGAAGTCACTGTCCGGCAAATTCGAAAGTGTCATTTCGGTAATTTTCACTTTTATTCTCAGTGAATCATTTGTTAGCCATTTTGTAGTTAGTGAAAATTTAATAGAGCGTGCTAACAACTCCAGAATATTAACCATTACACACTTGCGTATTGTCACAATTCTGAACTTTAAAAAAATATACCGAGATGTTGCAATCCGAAAATGATAGGTGCAAATTTCTATGTTTTGAGTTTAAGCAATTTTGAGTATTTTCGAGAGAGAAAAAAAAACACAAAAAACATACATAACCGAAAAACAAACAATACAACGAAAGCAATGTCGCACTCTCACCGGAAAGATAACAATAATGATGACGATTATGAACATGTAAAGGCGAACACTTGGAGTACACAAACAAAGAAAAAAAAAACAAATGGATAATTGCATAAAACAAAAATATTTTACTTGACCAAAAGTAAATTTAAAATGTAAAAAAAGTTTGAAATGCATGTAGATATTATATGATTAAGTATTTACTACATCGTTTAAAAATCTCATAAACTATGAGCAATCTTGACTGTCTGATTTTTAATTTTCTTTCAAAGAGAAAAAAAAAATGAAAACGTATTTCTTCCAAATGCAAACATTTGCGTACTTGAATGCAATAACATTTTAAACAAAACATAAAAATAAAGTAAATCTTCATATGGCCTAAGAATCTTTCATTTCTATTGCTTCGACGCTCTCATCAATCACATTTCATGAAAACATCAAGATAAAAAAAAATTACTCATTTCGTAATCGTTCATTTCATATTTATGTTTCCTTTCAAACAAACAAACAAAAAAATCACACACACACACACACACAAATCAATCAACTTTGAACGGCCAAATTTTCATTTTGACAATCTATTTTTATACAGAAATGTAAAAAAAGATAAAGATACTTCTCATTCGACTGAAAGTTGTTTTAAAACGATATTGTGACGTGTAATAATTTGATCACATAAACTTATCAAACAAAGAGTTTGGTTGATTTGGTGGCTTCCTTCAAAAAAACGTTTCGTTTTTCCTGTCGTTAGAATAAAATTGAACCAGTTTTCGATTGAGACATAATGTAGAAATTGTACAATGAGAATGTATGCGTTCGATGTATTCAAATTCATGTAGAAATAAATGTAGAAGATTCTTATGTAGGCTAAATAGTGTTCTGGGTATTTAAATAAGTTCTCATCGCATTCGATTTTTCTTTGAACATTTTCATCGGATAATTTTCGTTTTCATTTTCAAAAAGGCCACCTCATATTAGTGACTATGACAAATGCCTTACTTAACTTACAATTTTGTTGTTAATTTTGTCGAATTTTTCATTTACGATCTATATATGTAAAAAAGCATCTGGATTTCAGTTTAATGTTACATTACTTGCTGAAAGAATCAAAATATTATAAAAAATACGCTCAAATACACATACACACACACTGTCAATTAAATTTGGAGTCTTTCTCTAAAAAGGATGATGCAAAACATCTTGTGATAATGATGGGCAATTCGATGTCCTATGTGTAATATTGTCAAATGTACAAAAATCTGGATAATTGAAAACACAAACATTTTTTTTTGTCAAATCGTATGAAAAAAAAAAAACACAAATGACTGCTTTTATAATTGTAACATGTTTTAACCGGTAGATTTTTGGTGTCCACTTGATCTGCAGCTATCATGAAATGATCGAAAAGTATACTGCTCTTCGGTTCAATGGAACGAAATAATTTTTCAAGATACTGAAATTTAACAGAATATGTTCCTTGACTTGAAGAGTAAGAAAAAATGAATTGTTTCCACAATCTACAATCGAATAAAAGCGCAATGACATATTTGCTCAATTCATATTCTTTCAATATTTATCCTGTTTCATCTGAACTCCAGCAAAGAAAGCATAACATTTTCTATTGAATATCAGCCGTAAAACGGTTGAATGAAAAATATGTCTTAGCAAAAGCATTCAAATCAATTTCTTCCATTATATACCTAGAACTCTACGTATTGTATATTCAATTGGCGTTGATCATTTTCACACGAAATAAAAATTCATTGGATTATTCTATTTTTTTCGTGCGGAATGTATTTTGATTATGAGATTAAAGATGAAACAAATTGCACTGAACTATAAAAAGTATAATAATAATAATAAAATAATAATAGTAATAAAATAATAATTTCACCACCATTTGAAAATAATGGATGAAATAATCGTTTATAGTAAATCATTGTTAGAATTTAAGGATTAAATCGAATGTCACTTAAAGAATACTTTTACTAAATGTTTTCTCACCTCTCATCATAAAAAAAACACAACAAATGACAAATGTTACCTAGTATGGTTTGTAACCAAGTCAAAGTTCGATAATGTGGTCACTTGAAAGATTTAGATTTTTATCATTCAGTTTCCTTTATAACTTCAAAATGAACATCAACTGTGATTAACACTTGATGCCATTTGGATTAAACCTGAACACCATTTTCCACACTCAGTTCTAGTTAGTTAATTGTTCATTTCTCGCATATAATATAGAATTTTGGAAGACGTATAATATCCTTTCCACCTCCAAAAAATTGATGAATTCTCGTTTATGTTTTAATTGATAAAACCAAAGAAAAAGCAGCCAAAAATTCCGTATTTCTTTAATATATGAAATTTATAATCTTCAAATGGTGCATAAACTACGTAATTTTATTAATCAAATATATGAAAGAGAAACGAGTTTTGAATACTTATACACTTTAACCACCGTTATTGGTGCGACTAGGTTTTAATAATTATACATACACACATATTTGTGTTAATAAGTATAATTGATACAAACAAATGATGTACTAAAGAAATCAAAGCTCATCAATTCAATATAAGCTCAGACATCACACATTACAAAACAATTCCAAAGTTGAACAATTTTTCTAGCTTAACAACAACAAGAGAAAAATAAAACACACAAAGAGAAAGCCTCACATAATCTACGTTTTCTGTACGCCATAAAAGAAGAACTCGTGTCCGAGTTTTTTCGCGATCCAAGTACCCGAAACAATGAATAATAATAATAATAATAACAACAGCCAACTAAAATAAACTCATAAAATGGAGAGTACAGAAAAAAAACAACAAAATGAAATGAATATTTTAGCGTAGACAACACAACCAGTTTTAATCACATAAAATAAATTAATTGTTGTAATTAAATTATATTGATATGGAAAAAAAATTAAAAGAAAAAAAAAAACAAACAAAAAACTAATGAAGAATCTTTCTCTGTGATTATTTTAATATGTACTTATAAATTCTGACGATAAGGAGAAAGTTTTATGGAAAACACAAATAATGTATATTTTAGCCTCATTATGTGTATGAAAATATATGTAATGTATGAAAACTATTAAATTTTGACTCAGTCATTTGTATTATTTCCAATTTAACCGACAACCTTTTCAGTTCAAAATGTACAAAAAACTTATTTTTATCCGACAAATTGCCAAACACAATTATGGTATGTACAAAATGTAAAGTGGTATGATATAAATGTGTAATATGTTTTATTAAAATTAGGATTTTTTCAAGGAAATAAGTTTTAATTACAGGGTGTGCCAGAATAACTGTCCTTTTTATATATGCTTAAAAAACGTATTGTTTTTTACTAAAATTGAACAAAAAAAACTTCGATTGCATGTAGCCCCACACAAAATAATCCAATGGATTCAAGTCTGGAGACGAAGGCGGCCATTCATCCTTGTTAAAAAAAAACAGGCACATTTTCTCTTAACCAATTTTGCACTCTGTTTGCTCGATTTGCCGGTGCCCCATCTTGCTGGAAAAGCCAAGGTTCATCACCAAACACATTTTTGGCATATGGCAACAAGTTTTTACGCAATATTTCTTCTTCATACACCGTTGCACACCGTTGCATTAATTTTAACGCCTTTTTCAACGA